TATAAATAAATATTTGCCAAATTCAATTAACATTGAGGAGCTAAATTTTGAGAGCTAATATTTTAAAAACCTACTCGTACGATTTTTACAAAACTTGGTATTCTGGCATAATTTGAGTTGTAGAATCGAAATATGTAAAAAAATTGGTATGTTATTTCAGAATAAGTCCGATTTTGTGTCAAAATACCTATGTTAGAATAATGCTATATATAAATCTAATATATATCCTAAGTCGCGCTTTCGAGACATGAAGAACACAATTTAAATTTCGTGAATCGCCCCAGTAGAACGGGAGATATAGCACTGTCCCATTTTTTTTTTTGAGCAGTGTACCATGTTCAAATCATTTGTTAAATCTTGTAGTTAAATTTGCATGCGAGTCCAGCAGGGAATTAACTGACTATTTTACAACTGTTCAAAGTATTTATACACGTTCTTTTCGGCTTCCCCTCAAAGATGGAACTTACCGCAAAGCTGTAAATATTCTGTAAAACAATTGGTTGAAACTAGATGGTCTGCCTGATTTGAAGCAGTACGAATCCTTGCCTGTACATTTGACAAATGTTTAGTTACGCCAGGTCTGCAGTACTGTCTCTACCAAACTTGCATAGCCCCTTATGCTTTGCTATTTTAAACTGTCTGAAACGATTTAACAAATGCTTTACTCTTACAAGTATGTTGCTTTTATATACTATTTGTCTACATATTTTATTTTCTTCTAAACATTCTAGTTATCATGTAGGATGTCCTAATTTGAATCTCTAAAAATAGGATAAACTTTTGGGTCAACCCAATATAAATATTAAAGCTGAATGGCTAATGTGGTAACACCATTATTATTTAACCCTAAATAACACAAAGGGGGTGATTTCCCATGATTTATTCTGTTACCCAATCTCGTGCATACTGTTTGATTTATCTAATCAAAATTTTACATGCAGATAGGCAGACTTGCAGCAAAACAGCATCTTTAATTTCAGCCACTTTTTGAGGGAAGCACAAACTAGGTGGACACTATTACTTTGAACAATGCAGCAAAGGATGCATTTGTTTCATACTTATTAAAAACATTTTACATGCATTTGGTATGATTCAAAGCTTCCAAAAAAAAATCTGAAAGGTTTCACATTTTAAATTACGCCTAAAGAGGTGTTTTTTTAATGTTTTGTGTGTTACCTTTATCTATTAAATATCATGTTCTACGTACTTAAACTATAAAATTCAGTTCAACAGCAATACTGCAAATTAATTTTAAAATGAGCATATCTTTAGAATTTTCAATACAGTGTCTCGCGCGGTTAAGATAAAAATGTTTTTTCGTACGGTGTTGTGATTGCTCACTTTGAAATCGTTTAGTTTTTTAACCAAAAATTTGTTGAAGTGTTACAAAATCTGAAATCAATCATAAAACAAATTTCAAATTCAAATTAGGGCTTCCACATGCCCATATTCTTTGGAAGATTACGCTATTCAAATTTTGATTGCTCTAGGTACCGTTGTTTCATCACAATGCGAGAAACATACATATATTTTTGCAGATTCTTCATTAATACAAGATAATAAATAATCTTCATTAATATAAATATTCTTTAATATAAAAGCTTCCAGAAACATTTTTGAAAAATAGTAGTGTACTACCAAATGGCCAGTTTAAGATATATGGCATGATACAAGCTGCGCACTGTATTCTGTCAACTCAGTAGCTAAAAATATTGCCTTAAATAAATAAACACTTTTATATCAAAAAAGAAATTCTATTTATTTTAAATTATTTTTATAAATATTTTTAAAGATAAGACAATGGTGACAGCAATAAAATACTAATTTGATTGTATTTTTCTTTGAGGTACTTATGCACTTACTTTTTACATTTTAAAATGTAATACCTGCTAAAAGGAATACAGAATTCTTTCACAGAAAAAAACAAGATATTAAAGTTAGTTTTTAATGCATTTTCACTTTTATTAAGTTCTCAAGATGAAAATTCATGCTCAGGTAGAAAAGATATGCTTACCTCAGTTAAAAATTATAGGCAGTGTAAAACTGAAATAAATTAAATATTAATGTTAAAATAATTTTTTAAATATTCAAGCTTGAAATTTCGAGATTTTCTTCATATGTTGAAAATCTATCAATATGTCTCTGCTAAGATGATTAAAAGCTTGATATACATGCCATTACAGAATCACAATAAATAATAACAAAAAAAAAAAAAAAAAAAAAAACCTGTTAACTTTGCTACAGGTTACAAAAAGGGGAACATGGGCCATGCAAGTCATGCAAGCTCACTGTTGGCATCACTGCATTAGAAGATTGTTGTCAATATTAACAAAAATATATTATTTTTTTTCACTGATAATGGCATAGATGTACTACAGTCAAAAGTCGTTAATCCGGACTCATCGGGACTTCGGCAATTCCGGATTATAGATCATCAGTTTAAATCTCGCAAGATGGCATGCAGAAATTCTAAAATTAAAAATATGAAACCGTAATTTATGAAATAAAGAACAATTATTATCTAAAGGGTATCAAAATGTACAAAAAAAGCTAAATATTTATTTGTTTACTTTATTAAACATTTCTTTCAATGTAAGTTGTTTAAGTTGCTTCGTTTTATGTGATAATACTTTCTCTTAATTCTATGAACAGACATAATTTCTTGTTCAGTTATAAAGTTCCGCTGTTCAAGTCCTATAATTGCGGTGTCGAGAATACCGACTAATTTGTCAATCAAAATTGTTTCGTTTTCAATAACCTCTGTATCACTTTCCTCACTATTGGAAGCGATATTTTCTGGATCTAGAACCATACTACAGATTTCGCTGTCCGTTAATTGATTGATGATTGGGGCATTATCGTCGCAATGAAAAACTTCTCTTATATCATCTTGATTTATTACCACTTCTACAGATTTCTTTACAAAATCCAATAACTGAAAAATTTCACCTTTAGTCTGCGATGTCCGAAAACCTTCAAATTCGCAGCTATCATCTTCATCCTCCTTACCATGAAATATGGTAGATGGCCATAAATTATGCCAAGCATTTTTTAATGTACCTGGAGACACATCCTCCCACGATCTTGCGATGCTCCACATGGCAGATTTTATGCTAAAAAATTTCAAAAATTCTTGAATAGTCTTGTCACTGTTCAAGAAATTTAACATAGATTTTAAAAATGCTGCTTTATATTTGCCTTTCAGCGCATGCACTATTCCCATATCCATAGGCTGAATGATAGACGTACAATTACGAAGAATAATACGGATACATTATCTTTCACTAAAGCTTTAAGTGAAGTATGCGCCGAACAGTTATCAACAATCAGGACTATTTTTGAGTCATCAGGTAAACCAACCGAATTCAAATGTCGCCGAGCCTCGGGCATAAAATGATTTTCAAACCAATCATTCATCAACACTTGTGTCATCCATGCTCTTTTATTTGCACGATATATAACAGGGAAAATCATTACTCCTTTAAACGCTTGAGGTTGTGCATGTTTTTCCGATTACGAAAAGTTTGCATTTGTGCGTTCCTGCAGCATTTGCACATGCTAAAATTGTTAGTCTCGCTTTGGAATCTTTTACACCAGTTGGAGCCTTTTCTGTAGAGGTTGCCAAGGTATTTCACGGTACATATTGCCAAAAAAGACCAGTTTCATCAGCATTGTAAATTTGTTCTGCAGATAATTGTTCACTAGTAATGTATTCAATGAATTCATTTGCAAATAGTTCAGCAGCTTCAGTATCAGCTGAAGATTTTTCACCAGAAGTTTTTAATTGTCTTATACCATGGCGATTATTTAACCAACCTGTCAAATATGTGCCCTCTCCATTTAAGTTCATTTCTTCATGAAATATTTTGGCTTGAGCCATTACCATTGGACCGTCAGGCAACGCCCTCGCTGTGCACGCTGTCTGACACATTTCAATCATCACTTTGTCATGATCGTCACTTTAACATAACGAACCCTTTTTTTTTCTGTATTCATTGCAAGTGGGGTGTCGGAATCCACAAAAAATCAAAAAGTTCCTTTTTTTTTTGCTTATGTCATATACAGTTGACTTTCCAATGTTATACTCCTTGCATAATTTTGAGATGGATATGCCTTTATCCATTTTTTGCAGCAATTCCACTTTTTGTTTGATGGACATCAAAACATACTTTCATTTTGTAGATCCTTTGAGAGCTCCAGTTTCGGAAATTCTATTTGACATAATCGAAAGTTCAAGCTTACTTTCATAAAATTGCTCTTACAGTCTGCAAAAAGGATCCAATTCAAAGATTAAGGAATAACGCAATCATCAACATTAACTGAAATAGATAATTAGATAATTTTAGCTTATACCGTTCGTTATACATTAAACGCGCATGCAAAAACATTTTCTGCACTTGCATATGCGTAGTCGTAAAGGCCTTTACGCGAACGCATAAACGCCTATGCCCATGTGTCAACGCGGCGCATGCGCAGAAAGTTTTTAGCTTTGAGGTCCGGATCATGGGTGTCCGAATTAACGACTTTTGACTGTATTTTTATAGTTATCCAAAAATTTATTGCACGATTAAGTCAATTCTAAAACATCCTAATAAAGTATAAAAGTAACAGTTTCAAAGTTCATTGATGACATCACAGATGCTTGAATTGGAGAAATGTTATAATTTGTTGAACAAAGATGATGCATATAAACACATCAACAAACTGCTGGCTAATGAGATGTCTCAATGGACTTTTTTGCAAAGATTAAGTTGCAGTCTGAACAACGAGCTGCTATGCAGGTCTTAGGAATGCCAGACCAGAGTAACACCGTTATTATAGGCACCATATAGCTGCACCCTTAACTTCGCTAGCAGTACTATATCCAACAGGGAGGAAGAAGCACAGCTAATTATACATAAAATAATTCTTGTTTTGTTACTTATATATTTGAAGGCACATTTCAGTATTAAAGCAATAATTTTATAGTTATAAAACTGCTAATAATTGAAAAAATATGATGGTATATACATCCTTACATTTTCATAATCATTCTACATAAGAATACTAATTTATACAGAAAAAAATTTTTCTTTGCAGTTGTCAAATTCAAGCGCATAGAAAGAAATGAGCAAATATTTTCAAGAAAGCACAAAAACCTTCAAAAACTCTGAAACTGCTTCTTTTAACAATCAAACACCATTTCAAAAGATGAGAAAACTGAATAATAATTTTACACAATATTTTCATACATTTTGATAATTTCTTAGTCAAAATGACTTGCATATTATTTCAGATTAGTTTTAAGCAAATTTTCAGCTTGATTATTAAATACAATGACCATATATTCTCTGTGGAGTGCTTTATAATTTAAATCTTGTCTTGCTAGTTAGAAATGTCTTCATCTTGTAATTCCAAGTCATCCAGTTCTTGAAAAAGTGATTCATCAACCTTTACCTCTTCTTCCCCTATAAAAGATTTTAATAAATTTAAAAGTGAAAAAGTTTTTAGAAAAATAAAAAAAGGCAGGAAGCCTGAAAAATTAAGAAAATAAACTTCATTAGATAAAACAGTTTACTGCTTTATGCCCAAATTTTATTGCTTTATGACATTATGAAATCCTCAAATGGCTGACCCATAGGCTTGCTGCTGCTATCAAAATTTCTGATAGCATTCCATGGAAAGTTTTACACTTTGACTTATGATGGAGATATTTACAAAGTGATTGTTGTTCAGGAACTCACTGAATATGATTGTGATAATGAGGCACATTTGCTAAGGATTTCCTGCAAATGGCCGACACAATGATATTATACTGTTCAGTGTTAAAGCACACTTTCATTTACCAGGCTGTGTGAATAAACAAAATATTTGCATCTGAGCACTGACTAATCCTCAAAAATTCCCTAAATGGCCTTTTCATGGAGAAACTGTTAGTGTATAGTTTGCTTTTGTTAATTTGTTTTGGTTGCTTTTGTTAATTTGAGGTGGAGATTTCATAATGGCCTAACCCACTACTTCAACATTCTATGGTATCTGCCTGCTACAAGTCCTGTTATGAGGTACTGTTTTTCAAAATAGCAAGTTCTTCAGATCATTTTCACTTCTAGAACAAAATGGTCCTCCTATCAGGAAATTCAGCATTCCCAGCAAGGTGAAATTCTGTGGTGATGACAGATTCCCCATTCTTGAAATATACTTCTATCATGAATGCACGATAGATAGTGCCTCACAATATGATGATTACTGCATTGGTCAAGCATATGCTACTCAAAACCACAACCAAATTCACCTACATCATTAGCTGTAGAACAAGTAGCAGTAAATCCAAAAATTATTAGTCAGCACATTTGGGAAACAAAATGGGAAAATTTGTACTTTCCAGCTACGAAATAACATTTTGCATACTTATTATCATTCTGAAGCGAAAATCACAATGGGCTTGATGTTTAAAATGTCATTTTTATTTTAAACAGGAACAATTATTCAGAAATACATTTTAGCTTAAAATGGTACAACACTACGGATACTAAACTCAACCCACAATTGCTATATATGCAGTTTACGGTTTGGATGACAGAAGAAACATGACTTTCCTTTGCAGAGCAAGCAGCAAAAGAGCAATAAGTTATAATTACAGTAGTATTTATAAGCTCGGAAAGTATTTGTTTTAATCCTGAGCAGCGATTGGACAAAGTTTTTCGCAGTGCAGAGAAACTGCAGGGAAAGAGGACATAACATGATGCAAAACATATCCTTGAGGAGGGGATATGCTTAATTAAAAGTTATCAATTTCTAGGTCTATTACCAATTGGTTCCAATTAAGTTTGATAGTTTTGTTAGTAATTTTGTTTCATACTTTATATTTTACATATTCATATTTTATTCGACATATTTAATATGTTGTAATTAATATGTAATACATATAAAGAACACATACACACATATATGCACACACACACATATATATACACACAAAGCTCTAAAAAATAGTAAATACAAAGTAAAAAACAGGTCAAAACCTAATCCAACTGCAGGCTGATAGCAGCAAGTGATGGTAATAATGCAGAACAAAAGAAAAAAATGCATTTAAAATTCCTCCCACATTTGATTTGGAATAAACCACATAGAAAATAAATAAATTAATAAAAATTTAGGGGAAAAAAAAAACAGGAGCACAGTGGCAAACTGTAAGAAATAAGGAGCAAAATATGCCAAAAACAAAAATGAAAATTAAATTTACATCTTTCACTGCCTCACCATCATATTCATAGGTGCATCCATTTATAGATTTTCTAATGAGTTTTTTCAGTTCGTTTTTAATGGAAATGTAAATAATGTACTCATACTTCAAATAACTAAAACCTTGGGAAGAAACAGCCTATCTACAACAAATATATGATTAAAATGTTTTCAGGAGCTGCATAAAATTGCTTCAGACGCTGCTAATTCAAGACTACTGATGTAAAACATTTATTAAGAATTTCATATTTTCTAAAAAAAAAAAGGGTTAAAATTTTACCTTTGTTAAATTTTCATAAGTGACCAACTACTGTCACTACTGACAGGTTAACATAACGTGAGAATTTATGCTTCTGTACACATAATTATGTTGACAGATATGACATATTCAGTTTCAATCCAATGATCTGACTGATCTGTTATATTGCACATCAAAAGTTCTTATATAATTTGGCCAAAATTCTATTCCACTGACTAACTAATAATGCTGAAAATTATGTTGAAATTAATGCTATTGTAAAAACTGCATAGGAAAACCTTCATTATATCACTGCACTTTATGGCATTTAGATTAAAAAACTTATTACTTTTCTTCTGTTGAAACCTCACTTACACTAAAACTTAACTTACACAATATTCATGGGAAGTAATAAACCTGTTCATATTTTATAACTTCATTGCAGAAATCAAAATTGCTTAATTAAACTGTAAACACTTTATGCAAGGAAACACTGTTACTACAGGATAATATATTAATATTCACCTTCTTGTAAGAACTGAAGATCAGAATCTACCAAAGAATGATCTTTCTCAAAAAGTTCCCGACCTAAAAGCCAATAATATACATATATATATAAATGCAATAATAACATAATTATATAAAAGTAACAAGAATTCAAAAAAGAAATAGTAGCATTTATAAAATCTACAATTTATGATTACATTCCCTGATCTATTTAAAAAATAATTTAAAAATTATTTTGTTTAATATTATTTACATAGTATTATTTAACATACATGTTACATAATAAACATACATTTAAAATACATTGTTACATAAATGCCATATAAATAATATATTAAACACAGTAATTTTTATTTTCATTACTAAATAATATAGCCAATTCACATTTGTATGAAACTTTATGGAATGACCTAAAAAAGAGTCTGGACTGAGCTTCCTTAAATTTAATGTTTTTCTTCCGTCAAAGTAGACTTACAGTTGATAAAATCTTCCCTATAAATTCCTTTTGAATACATAAATATGTTAAAGAAAATGTAGAAATTGTTCACTTTTTAATAATTTTAACATGTTTCTTATTTAGGCAAAATAATAATAATAAATAAATAAATAAATACAGATTAAAAATTTAAAAAAAAAAAAAAAAAGAAAATCTGAAAGGTTCAGATCTTAAAATACTCCAATGCGCATTTTTTTAACATTTTGTATGTTACCTTTATTTATTAAGTATCATGTTCTTTTATTATTAAATATTACTATGTACTGAATTTATGTTCTTTTTTATTAAATATCATGTTCTTCACGCTTCTAAAGTGCAAGTTTGCATAAAATTAGCATGAAGTTCTGTTCAACAATAAATATCACAAACTATTTAAAAACAGTATATCTTTAGAATTTTCGATAAGCAGTCTCATACACTGGAGATAAAAATGTGTTTTCTGTATAATGTTGCCATTTCTCACTTTGAAATCCTCGAGTTTGTTAATTACTAAATATGAAATTGATAATAAAACAAATTCCAAATTTCAAATTTGGGCTTTCAGATGCCCTTATTCTCAGTAGGACTACGCCATTCAAAATTTGATGGCTCTAGGTATCGTTGTTTTATCACAATGCGAGAAACATACACACATTTATGCAGATTCTTCATTATTTAATTTCTTCAAATATAATACAGGGCGATAATATTTGGTGGAAAAAGTTTGAAAAGTGATACATCTATTTATAGCATTTGGACACAAAATCTCAAAAAGAAAACAATAGTCCTGCAGGGACAAAACCTCTTTAATTAAAAAAAAAAGCATTCTGTTGCAGAACAGACAGCTATTCTTGTATTAATACCTTATTTCTGAAAAGCAATGAGGAACATATACAGAGGAAAGTAGCACATGCTTATCAAGATGAATTACTGGTCTACTTAAGACCACAAACACAAAACATTAACACAACACAAAGAAAATATAAAAGCTACAAGAACCAGAACTTCTGGGTAAACAACACATGCAAAGTTGTCATTACTGAGAAACTGATGTGGATATCAGAAGATATGATTCAAATGTGTCTCCAGAACAGTGAACATTTACAGCACTTGATATAAAGGTAAATCATATCTTCCATTATTAACCTCACACTTGCTGTTAAGTATTAGGACAAAAAAATAGCATACTTATTAACGGGAATATCTACTGAAGTACTCTGCACATCCTAATAAGTAAATTATAGTGATAACTTAACTGTTTGCTTATTTAAAACTTTGATGAGATAGCATACCAATATAATTTTTGACTGACTTTTAAGTAAGATTTCATACAGCATCCATTTGATACAATGTTCTTTTTCAGTAGTAATACAATGCAGACACTCAAAAGAACAAGGAAGCGAGGCAATGCTGTGACAGATTTAGGTTTAACCAAGGTGCACCACAAGGAGGCCTGACACGTTAACCCCTCATTGTACATTTATTGCTCTCGTGCTATTTTGTCGGATAGTAAAAAAGCTTTGCAGGCTATCTCAAACAATAAATTTTGCACTTCCAAACGAATGTAGGACAATTCTCAACACAACCGACTAAATTGAGTGGATTCCTGCTAATTGTGGCGTCAAGGGAAATGAAAGAGCGACTTCCTGGCAAAGAAAGGAACAACTATTCTATAAACCACTAATAATGACATTTAATTCTGCAACACTTTTATTAAATTAGAATTTAAGAAGAGGTTTGCCTCCTACCTATCAAATGAAGCTAAGGGAAAGGCCTGGGAGTGTCTCACCAGTTCAAAACCAGTTATTCCAGATTTTGCTCGTCCTCTAGTCATGACATTATTTTGTCTTTTGACTGGGCACAACTGCCTGAATGCTCATCTTTTTAAAAGTCGACTGAAGAACCCTTCAGTCTGTACAACTCTGGACAGTCCATGGATAAGAAAAAAATTGGTGAATGCACTGCACTATTATCTTTTAATTCTATTCTTCCTTTGTATTGGGAAGCAGGATCAAGACTAATGCCTTAGTGGCCAAATGTCTGGCACTTGTATAAATAAATAAATCTTTCTCAATCATTTCTATGGAGTTATTGTATCAGTAGACCAAAAAATCTGCTAACACTTGAAATCTAGAATTATTTTTTTCGGACACAAAAAGCGAAATTCTCAGTTAATATGATAGTCAAGCTATAAAACTCGGAAACTAGAAACTTCTGTTTCAAAGTTAACTTTGATAAACATGGATATAACTTATTACCACATTCAGTTTTATTGAAAGAGAATGTAAGAACACCCCTACCAACGCTGTGATGGTAAAAATCAGGAGCACTATATAAAAAATATATACACATATAAAAATTATTTCTATTATTCTTTTTATTGATATGCATATTCGTGTAGGGGAGGTTTCTGTAGACAAGGGTTTCTAAAATACATTGGTTTCTAATTTTTTTTTATTATTTTATTATTTTTTTATAAAAATTAATTTTTTAAAAAAAAGTTTAATTCTTGACTTTACTTGCTTGTTTCTCAAAAGACTTCATTAGTATTTTCCTTTTTGAACTTTAATTCTTAAATGTTAATTTCTAAGGGAACCACTTTATTGAAATTACTTTTGGTTTTGACTTTTACCCTAGCCTGCATGAATGACGAAACACGAATTGAATGATTGGAGAGTTAGGTTTGGAGGCAACTTCCCCTTGATAAGTTTGTCTCCTGCCTACTCAACGGTCATTCACATATGCATTTTTTTTTTAAATTTTAATTTAATTTTAATTTATTAAATTAGTAATTTATTTTCATGGATTGATTTTGCACTTGATTTGCTTATGCTTCTGAATTTAAATGATATTGTAGATTAGTTCGAGTATTAAATCTTTTATATATTTGCATATTTTTTTAAAATTATTTTGGCTTTTTTCCTTTTTATAGGATTTAAATTTGCTTTTTTACTTTTATACGTATTTGTTAAAAATTAAATTTTAATTTGTTTAAATTTACATATATAAAAATTACATTCTTTAATTACATCTGGGTTATATTAATTACATTAACCACTCAGATGGTATAGTGGTTACGGGAGCCTATTGTGGTAGCAAAGGGCCCATGTTTGAATCAAGGAGCTGGCATGGTGGTAACTGTCCATCCGTTTATAAGAGACAATGGTGGCCGCTTATCAGGTGCCTCCACAAGAAAAAGGCCACCTCTTTCTGGCCTTAGGAGTGGCCAATGCTGAATAGGCAAGTGCCCGCCCATTGGATTAAAAATAATTACATAAACGACCCGTTTTCTTTAACAACATTAGTGACATGATTTTCTGAAATTTCAATTAATTTTGCTAAATAAATTACACATACCTGTTAACTTTTTATTAGTCACTTCATCCTTGATCTGTAATTTCTTAAGTTCTGCCATTTCTTGATCAAATTTGGCCTTCCAACTCATGAATGATTCCACTGTTACTCGAACACCTTCAAACCTATTCTACAATCAAATAAATTAAAATAAACAGATATTAACTATATCTACAGACCTTTCTATTCCAACCAACCATTTAAAGATTAACAATTTTTTAATGTACTATTTAAAACAGAAATACAGTAGAATATCTCTTAACCAGCAGCAATGGGTCCTTATCCACTCCGGATACGAGATTTTTCCAGATAATCATGAACACCATATTTTCCGGCGTATAATGTGCATCTACACTCATGGACAAAAAAATTAGCGCACCAAGAAATAATTGCGGGATCTTAATGAAACTTGCAACGAAGGTACATGTTGGGGAGATATGCAAATGCTTAGAAATGCAGCATGATTGCGCATTACGTATAGCTGGTATAGGGCATTGAACGTCGTACTCTGTGAAGTATAAAACAGGTAACCAAAGCTTGTTTGAGTGTGCTGAATCATTTACAAAGGAAGAGCTTAGGTAGACATGACATTACGCCGTGTTCGAAGACAATATGAGCAGTTGTCGCAGTTTGAGAGGGGGAGAATCGTCGGGATGATGGAAGCGGGGTGGTCAGCTAGGCGAGTAGCTCGTCAATTAGGTCGCTCTGATTTGTGTTGTGAGAAGGTGTTGGGACCAGGGATGATGGAAGCTGGGTGGTCAGCTAGGCGAGTAGCTCGTCAATTAGGTCACTCTGATTTGTGTTGTGAGAAGGTGTTGGGACCAGTGAACCCGAGAGATGTCATGTATACGAAGACCAGGCTCAGGACGCCCTTCGACAGATCAGTTCGAAAAGACCGCCACATCGTACGAAATGCACGCGTACCACCAATTGCTTCATCGACCGCCATCCAGGCACAGGTAGCACCTTCATTAGGGGTCCCTGTGTCTTCTCGAACCATACGAAAGCGCCTGGCTGAAGGACAGTTGGTATCACGGCGCCCATTACGTGTGCCGCCCTTGATGCCTACTCATCAATGCCTCGGTTTGGAGTGGTGTCGAGCACGAGGAAACTGGACTGCAGCGGAATGGAACCAGGTTGTCTTTAGCAATGAGTCCAGATTCAATCTCGGCAGTGATGACAATCGTGTTCATGTGTGGAGAGCCCATGGTGAATGCCTCAATCCTGCCTTTGCTGTACAGCAACACATCGCTCCCACAGCTGGTGTGATGGTATGGGGTGCCATTGCTTACAATACACGGTCACCCCTAGTATTGTTCCGTGGCACCATGGCAGCCCAGCGATATGTTCATGAAATCCTGCAACCATATGTGTTGCCACTCATGCAATGCCTCCTAGGAGCCATTTTTCAACAAGACAATTGCTCGGGCTCATACGGCAAGAGTATCACAAGACTGTCTCCGCATTGTTACTACCCTTTCTTGGCCTGCCCGATCCCCAGATTTGTTTCTAATCGAGCATATCGGGATCATTTGGGACGACGAGTTGGGCATCCCGCGAGTTTGAACGAATTAGAGGCAAGGTTACAGCAAATATGGAACGGAATGTCTCAATACATCATACAGACTTGTATACTCAAGCCGATTGCATTGCATCGTGCATTCACGCTAGAGGGGGTCCAATGGAGTATTAACTCCTCCGTTCTTTTGCCTTTTTCTCTGAAATAAATTATCCTTTTTCTTTTTCTTATCATTTACTTATATCAAAGCAGTCATTACGTATGTAAAATTTCGTTTCATTTTGAAGCCTCCTTCTTCGTGTGCTAATTTTTTTGTCCATGAGTGTATAATTTCAAGCTACATTTTTAAAATTTTTAGGTATATTTGCTGTATAATGCACCCCCAATTCTTCATGAAGAAACCTAAAAGATATATGTGCAATGCTCTTATCTTTTGAGATCACTTATTCAAAGAATAGTCCTAACTTTTTGAATAATGGTCTACTGAACAGAGGAGCGATCAGACGAAATGTGGGTTAAATGCTTAATGGAGTAAATATTCCTGCAAAGAGGGTGGATTGTATTTGATGGAGATGTCCAAAAGAATGCTATTGTAGGGTTTTGAGAAAAGGGGGATATAATTAGGAGCAGGAATGTATTTTCAACTTGAATGAATTCGTAGAATTAGGAGTTAAATGTTTTCTCTTTCTGTAGTCATTTGAAGCCGTGATTTTGAATTGAAAATCAAAGCCTTTGGTAAATCCTTTTGTTTTAGTCGAAATACAGTTGATCTAGTGTTCCTTTTAGTAGTAAATATGGCTTTCATGCGAAGAAGCAAACACAGTGCTGGTTTCAAATGTAAAGCCGTTCATTTTGTGAAAGAAAATGGAAATCGTGTTTCAGCAAGGATGATCAATGTTGGTGAAAGCTCTATGTGAGTGGAAGAAAAATGAATCATGATAATTAATATGCCAAAAAAATAAATATGCTATGTGTGAAGGAGTAATGAAATGGCCTTTCCTAGAAGAAAATGTTGCAAACCCAGTCCTAGAAAAGTGTCGGAATGGATTAATTGTAACAAGAAACAGTATATGTTTATTAGCCTTAAAATGGGCCAAAAAGAATGCCGATGAAAGTGAAAACTTTAAAGCAACTTTGAGTTGATGTAGTAGATTTACAACATGAAATAACTTAGTTCTACAAGAAAAAACAAAAGTTTCAAAAAGGCTTCTGGAAGATTTAGATAATAAATTGAATACTTTCTAGAAATATTTTATTGACCTACGAAGGCAAAAAAGTATTTACTGTTGCATATTGAAAATATGGACAAAACTCCAGTAATAACAATTGACATGAAAGCAACAAAAATGGGGTACTATTCGGTTTCGAGGGCCGTGAAAAATCGCCAAACTACTGTTGATGCTAATGCTGCCAAAAATAAATGAGGCAACCCTAATAATTGCAGCAAGAAAGGAAGTACAGTCAAAAGTCGTTAATCCGGACTCGTCAGGACTTCGGCGATTCCGGATTATCGATTTTTCCGGATTATAGATCATCAGTTTAAATCTCGTAAGATGGCATGCAGAAATTCTAAAAATTAAAAATATGAAACCGTAATTTATGAAATAAAGAACAATTATGATCTAAAGGGTATCAAAATTTGCAAAAAAAAAAGCTTAATATTATTTGTTTACTTTATTAAACATTTCTTTCAATGTAAGTTGTTTAAGTTTTGCTTCGTTTCATGTGATAATACTTTCTCTTTAATTCTATTAAACAGACATAATTTCTTGTTCAGTTACAAAGTTCCGCTGTTCAAGTCCTATAATTGCTGTGTCAAGAACACCGACTAATTTGTCATCGAAATTTTTTTTGTTTCAATAACCTCTGTCACTTTCTTCACTATCGGAAGCGAATTATAATGACGAGGAACTTGTTTTAAATCATATCAAAGACGGAGCATATCGAGATGAAATACTACCTTTGGTAAGGAATTATAAGCAAATAAAATAAAAAAACATCTGTGCTAAGATAAGGATAGTGTGACAATAAACTTCCAATTCATTACGCGCCCGCCGCCGAGCAGCGTGAAATTGATAAACAGATTTCGATTTCAAAACATACTTTCGCTTTAGATCCTTTACATATTACAAATATAATCGGAAATTCTATTTGATATAATCGAAAGTTTAAGGTTACTTTTATAAATTGCTCTTACAGTCTGCAAAAAAATAATAAGCCGGATGCAATTCGAAAATTAAGGAAACAACGCAATCATCAACATTAACTGAAACAGATAATTAGATAATTTTAGCTTATACGTCCATTATACTAAAATGCGCACGCGAAAACGTATTCTGCACTTGCGCACACTCAATGCGCAGTCGTAAAAGGTCTTACGCGCACGCGTGAACGCCTCTGCGCATGTGTCATGCGGCGCATGCGCAGAAAGTTTTTAGTTTGATGTCCGGATTATAGATCATATCCGAATTATGGGTGTCCGAATTAACGACTTTTGACTGTATAATAGTAAATAACTATCTAAGATTGATGTTTTAATTAGATGAAGGTTAATTTCATATAATATTTTTTATTATTATAATTTATATGAAAAAGGCTAAACATGACTGAATGGAAGCATAAGATATATAACTATTTCAGATCATTATTATAATTTATATAAAAATTGCTAAACATAACTGAATGGAAGCCTGCGTCACTATTTTGCTAACGACTTATCACTAAAGCATAATTTCATCTCGTTGGTTGTTCGAACGTAATTTTCTACAATGAATGATGCCTTTTCTTTGAAAAATATTTTCGGCAAAGTGCAGAATCGCTCACTTATTTGCTTGCCGCTTTTCACAAGGGTAAAAACAATTGGATTTTTGTCATTTTTTTTTTTTTTTTTTTACTTTTTAGTGAAAATAGGTAGATGTGCACATAGATAAAGGGTGTGCACAGTGCCATTTTTGTGCAATTCTAGAATTTTTTTTAAAGTGAAAATAGGTTGATGTGCACATGGATACCGAGTATGTGCAATTCTTAAAAACGCGTCAAACAGTGGGGGATTCTGCACTTTACCCAAAATTGTATTGCTGACTTTTTGTCATGGGCAATTCCCAAATTGTTAAATCCATAGGATATAAAAAAAAAAAAAAAAAAAAAAAAAAAAGGATTTAAAAATTAAACTAGTATTTCAATGGTGTCTTAAGAAATATAGAACTATATAAACTTACACAATCTGAAATCAACGTATACGCTAGATTTGGCGTGCTGTTAAATGGGCGCGTTTGCTAGATTTGGCGCTTTTGCGCATACGTTTTCGCTGCAATTTCTTTACGGCCCTCAAAACGGAATAGTACCAAAAATGGTTCGCATCACAAAAGATCTCACTTCACCATAGGGCTTTCTTACTTAGCCAGATGGTTGAAAATTGAAACCCATGGTTATTTTTAAATGAAAGATGATGCTAAAATGTAATTTCCCTAATAGTGTTTTCATTCATGTTTAGGAGAAAGGATGGATGGCCAAAAATGAAGAGAAATTGTGGATAAGAAATGCTTGGCATCTCTTGCCTTAAAGAATCCAGAAAGTCTTTTTGTCTAGGAGATTCTCAGATCTCATTTAACAGGTAATAAGAAGAAATAATTGACATGGCAGTTATTTCAGGTGGATAAGCACCTGGTTCAGCCTTTAAATGCATGTATCAATAAACTATTCAAAGAAAATTTAAAATGAAAGTGGAATATGTGGATGTTAGAAGGTGAAAAATCATTTACAAAATGAGGCCAAATGCATCATGCCAGTTTAGAAATAGTGTGTGAGCAGATAATAAAAGCATGGAATAAAATTAAACCCCAACATAATTCAAAAGTCATTTAAAAAGTGCAGTATATCTAACAATCTAAATGGAATGGAAGATGTTTATCTATTAACAGATCAGAGTAACAGTGATTGTGAGAATGAAACAGAACTTGATAATGAGCCTGAAGATACAACAGAGGATGAAGATGATGAACTTTTCACATTACCCAATAATAAAAATTTTTAAGTTTTAGGTATACCGTTTCTTTTAAATAACCAGCATTTAGGTACATATAGAAATTTAATTATTTTTTTTAATGTTCATTTACTTTCAAATAAATCATTTTTATACCCGGTGTAAAATGCATACCCGTGAATTTCAATCTTATTTTTCTATCGACAGTGCATGTTATACACCAGAATATGCGGTACATATTATTAGAACTTAAACAGTTTATATTTTGTTGTGCCATCAATAGAAACTTTAGCATGCAAAGCCTGTTGACCATACTTTTTAATCTATACATATCAATTACATAAATTACAATTTTACAATTACATAAATAATATTGAAAATGGTACAGATTACTTAAATTTCAAAAGTACACATGATTTTATATTTTTAAAAAAAGTAAAACTAAATAACATTTTAAAATTACCATACATATTATCACATAAGTTTATGAATATCTCAGTGTGATGATATATAACTTTGAATGTCTGCCTGCTTACGAGATAGTCGCTGGAATTTAAAAAAATTCACTGTATATACAAATGAAGCTTCATAACATTATGTATCGATATAGATAAATATTGCTCGGCAAATCTTACAAAAATCTCCTATCATTAAGCAGCTTCCTTCCCCATTACTATCCTCATCCCTGTTCTCATCTTTCTCTTTTAGCAATACATGTCAGATTATTACATGTCCTCTTGAGAGAATGTGATGGGAAAAAATTGTTGATGACAATGATAGTAGCTGATAGTGATGCTTGGTCAACAAAGGCATAGGAGTGGGATGTCTGCTGTGCAGTCCCATATCCAACAGTGTCAGCTAAACTGTGTGTTGAAAAACACTTGCACTGTATTGGGCTGTTAGCAGAGCCACTGTCTGGTGCGATTTTGCCGTACCAAGCAACAGTCTCCCATGCCTTTTTCTTTGAGGACATGTGGACATCCAACACCTTGGCATATACTGCTGGTTTCACCATCATTTATCCACTTTGCATAAATACTAACAATGGCAGATTGTGAACAACCTACCAGTCATGCAATTTTGGACACACTCATTCAGTCTTCGAGCCATTACAATCTGCCCTCTATCAAATTCACTTAGATCAGCAGCCTTTCCTATAACTCAAATAAGTGCAAGAATGATTCCTTACCTTCTCCACTAATAGTTAAATACCACTCCCACTTAATCCCGTTCCAGATGAGTTCATTGAAAAATTGGGAATGGTCATAATGTTTTGGCTCGCCAGTGTATTTTTTCATCTCGTACGCCTATATTTTGGGTTTAAATTTAGATTTTCAGAAGTGCAGTTGTTCTGATATTGCTGATGAAATAGTTCACCTGTTAAAACATATTTTACTGCATACCTCTAAAAATATATTTCAGAAAATCTGAAAATTCAAACTCCATTTCTGTTAGCATTTATGTTTACCAATCCCAGTATTTGCAGCACGACTGGAATACACTCAAGACACCTTTTAATTTAACGTTTACCTATCTTTTGCAACTCAGCCTGGGTGCCTTCTACTGAATATGGTCACAGCAATGAGGATGATTCTATAACCTTAATTATGCCTAAAATTAAAGGATTCATATTATTCATGACCAAACTGAAGAGAAGTTAAAAGTGCAAGAAAAGCAATGCTAATAATTTCTTTCGGTGTGAAGAGGACTGCATCCCATGTGGATAGCTTTCAAAGGAATAAGCCCAGTGATATAATTTATAGCTAGATTTTACTGGTCTGACAAAACTAGATCTTACAATATTTTTAACTTGATGAACCGACTGTTAAAATTGAATTGTAATATTTATTTAGGCAATTTATTTTTATATGATAGCAAATTTTATTACTTATTTAGACAGTGAATGAGCTATAATAATTTTTTATAGTTATTATTGATCGATACATAAACAAACCATGATACCATAATAAGAATGCATTTACATTTTACCAAATATGAAGGGGTCTGTATACTGAGAGCTCAGGCCTCCAAAGACGGACAGCCAACAACGGATCTAAAGAGTTACCTGCTGAGGTAACTTTTCAGTTGTATGAAATGATAGAATTTTACAATAAAAAATCTCACTTGTGCAAGGAAAGGATGTCACTACTTCAGCATGATCAAGCTACAGTACCCAAACAGAATAAGTTTTCAACAGCAAAGAAACTAGCAGTGGTCCTTTATTATCAACTTCAAAAGATTTATTACCCTCAGATTTTATTTTATTTTTTAGTAGTCACTAGATTTTGGCCACCTAAAGCATTTTTAATTATCAAAGATAAACAAATTAAAAGGCACCATTGCGACTCTTAAGTATTTAATCTGAATTATAGAGGCTGATAGGTTCACTTCATTTAAAGTATTTCCAGGAGGCATTCCAATCATCATGCTCCAATATTACTTCGAAAGGAAAGATCTAATTTAAGTCCCCCTTTTTTGTAAAAAAGTTTTAAATCAATGCATTACTTTAAAAATTGAGTGAAACTGAAAAATATATTTTTGCCAGTTGAAATTAAATTTACAAATCTCTTTATTTAATAATCCCATCTTGTATACAAGGGCCATGTAGTTTTGTGAGATACACATAGGTTTTTAAAGTTAAAATTTTTGGAGTATTCAAAGCAGCCTCCTCCAGCATCAATGCACTTCTGTAAACGAATTTTCCAAGCATTAAATGCCTCAAACCATTTATTTATTGGAATCGATTAAAAAATGCATTTATAGCCTTATCAATCTCATCCTGGGAATGAAAATGGCATCCACATGTTCTTTTTTAAATTAAAAAATAGCCGAAAGTCATACATAACTAGATCCGGTGAATAGGGTGGATGTTCTATCACTTTGATGTGTTTTTGTTCAAGAAATTCAACTGCCAATCTTGCTGAATAAAAAGATGCATACTTAGTGGTGTAAGAGTTAGCTGCGACTGTCTTCTGTCCTTCCAGCTTGATGGTTTTGATCAGTTCTGTTCTTCTGAAAAAATGCCATCCACATCTTTTTTCATGGCACATTGTCTTTTCACCTTTAAAGGCATGGGATCATCTTACAAAGACCCATATTTACTTTTTTGATGTGTTGGAACATAAAAATATGTATATTCGTTTCATCACCCATTACGATTTTAGAAATAATAAGGTGGCCACCATCTTTAAGTAATTCAAGGGTTTTTTACTGATTCTGAAATGCTCCTCTTTTTAGTGCTCAGTTAGATTATGGGGAAACCAACAAAAAACTAGATTTTCATATGTAATTCTTCATAATTTTATGCATATTTCCAATGTTAAGTACCTTTTGTATCATTTGGTAGGAGCAGCGATTACCATCAATTAGCATTTCCCATATGGCAGACATATTACTTGGGATTATTGCTGACAATGGCTCCCCTATATGTTCTTCATCCCGAACAGAGTTGTAACCTCTGTGAAATTCTGTAAGCCATCTGAATACAACAGCAGGAAATGGACATTCATTTCTAAATGCTAACTGTAGACATTGAATACATTTTTCTTGATTTAATTCCACTTTAAAACAATAGAAAATCATATGACGATAATGTTCTCACATCAACTCCATTTTCCCTTTTGCCTAAAATTTATTCTATGTAAAACTACTAGCAACTGTCTAATGAAAATTGTCTGCTAGGCTAAAATAGTTCATATTTTCAAGTCTAACCATTATTTTTTTTTTCTGCCACTTATCACCTGCATGTACCTGAAAAATTTTAGAGTGACCTCCACACAATTTAAAAGAATATTCTTTCCTTTTCATTAAACATGATTTAACATTTAGGGAAAACAATATCTTAGAAAGGTGGTTATATGTACTTATGAAAAGATGCTTGACACTTACCCTTTCTTCTTCTTCGAGCTTTTTTATCCTTAACTCTTCTTCCTCTTTTCTTTGCAATATACCATCTTGTAATCTTTTATTCAACCATTCTGAGGCTTCTGAGACTAAAGTAAACACCACGACCATGCCTATATTTTCCTCTACCTGCATATGAAATTTTTACATTTAGAATTTAAAAATGGTTTTATTTAAAATACTTATGAAAAATAATAATGAGTATATGCTGTGATTTATCTAACTCAACTAATATGCAGCCATTTTTGAATAACGTGTTTTTCATAACATACACAGTTAAACCCATTTTGCATAAATAAGCTTTCAATTTTAGTCTTTAACATTTCTTTTTATGAAAGAAATAATATGCATTTGAAATTTAAATTAAAACTTACATACCATGATGACTACCTTGGCAACATTTGCCGATAAAAATCTTCACTGGCGTTTTTTGGTTTATGTTTATAAATTCCTTTAAAAATAAAAGACCTAATTATAAAGGAACAAAAACGTAAAAACCAAAAATCCAGAATTATATATATATATATATATATATATATATGTAAAATATAAAAAAACACGATGGCTTTGCTTTATGCGAACAAGAAACCTCTAATTAACTTTCCACAATTTCAGGATCTTCACCTTAGACCAGTCAGTACGTTCAAGAAAATTCCAGCCTATTATGTAACTGCTTCTATAAATAAAGAACTCGCTCCATTTTGCGTCAGAGATTGCTCCCTTTGCTGCTAAGACCTGTGCCGCTGCTCTTCTGCCTTTTCCTTGTTAGAATACTATGATGCAGTGAATTTAATTTTATTTAGTAAAGAGTGATAATATGCTTTTTAATTGAATAACGATGTGGAATCAAAACAATTAACTTCTGTATCATCATTTTATTGCCAAGCTTAATTCATATGCCCGACTGCCGAAATATTGCATACACATATTATAAATAAACGTACATATATATGTATATATACATATTATAAATAAACGTATATATATATATACACACACACCTCCAAATCCTTCATGCATATAATTATTCCAATCAATAACAGTCTTATCGGATAAATCCAACTGATGTTTGCACTATTTAATGGACAACTGCTCATATTAACTCTTAAATATTAACTCTCAAATTAACTCATATTAACTCTCAAACTTAAATAAATCTTAAAGCTTTTAAAAATTCAATACGACTGTTTTTAAACCATGTACCAGTTCAGACACCAGACTTTTATTGACAATTTTTGACATTGCATCTCCAATAAAATCCTGAATTATAAAACTTCATATCATGGCCGTTTTTACAAACACGTTCTTTGGGTAAAATTCCAGCCTCTCTGAAAAATTCTATCACTTCTTCATTTTAATGAAGTTGGAAAATGTTGATATCCATTGGGAAAAAAATAATCACAAAAAGTTTCCCATGTTTAACCTAAATTTAACAATCCGCGTAGATGTAGCAAAAAAAGGTGTTGTAATAGCAAGTGTGGAATAATACTCTTTATTTTAGTGCCCTCTACAACCTATGTTAGGGCTAACCTGTATAACCTACAAGGGTCGCCAGTTTTGGCGAGATATCTAGGTAGTCATCATAGTATGCAAGTACCTAATTTTTTTTTATTAGTATAATCCTTTTTTAACCATCACAACAATATATTGAATTAATGTATGAATAATTAATAGGAAATAAAACTTATCCCCCCCAAAAAAAACCTAACAATACAAAATAACCATTAAGTTGCAATATTATAAAGCACCTTCCTGTAGTTTGTTGAACAAATTTCTCAACATAGTGAAGAAAAACTCCCTTAAAATACAGGGCAGAAAGTTTTTTACAAATTTTAAAGATTCCTTTTGCTGAATTAACCATTCTACTAAAAGCAACGCTCATGACAGGGATGGCCATAGCATGGCTCTCGCAGGCGATTGCTGTGGTTCTTATGGAAATAAAATAGATGTTTGAAATATAGTAAATCAAAATTACTTAATGTCCAAAAGAAATTATTTAATTAATTTCATTTCTTTTCACAAAATTACTGGTAAACTCAAAATATCCAATGTTCAAACACAATTATTTTACTTCATTTCCCGTTAGTTAACAAATTCTTAATAATGTTATTCAAAAACATAAAAGCTATAAAAATAAAAATATTGTACTGATTCATTCAAATGATTTTGCAAAAAAATCTTTAGAAGTTGGATTTGCTTGCAGTTGCTTCACAGGAAGGGTCTGCCAAATTTTTAATCATTAATAGCATTAGAAACTAAATTGGGGTGGTCTGTGTGGATAACAGATATATGGCTTACTTGCTCCTAAACGAGCATGCAAGGGAATTATGAGATAATTTTGAGGTAGCAGAGAAATTATTTAAATTGCTGTATTGCAGATTTAAAAGGAATCTGAAGTTTCATTAGCATTACAAATCTATGATAGATCAATATCCACAAGTATCCACATAGAAGTATTGGAATACTTAAAAACTGAAAAAGAATACTTTTTACCCTATCAAGCTGTAATTAGAGAAAACAAATACACAGCAAAACTGCATTGTCTTCACTGTATGATCACATGCTGAAGGCAAACTGTCACTAAATGATTGTCTACAATCAGATGTTTCTTTATATTTGAAACCTCTTTCACTACTTTTCAAATACTTTAAATATGGACTTGCGGCTTTTGAAAAATCTAGTTGTGTCTCTCGAACTTTCCTGAATTCCAGCATGCCACTTTTACTGACATGAAATCTGGCCACCCCTGATGTATGGCCTCTCTCTATCAACAGTTCCCTGACATGACAAAAGACAGGCACATATTCCACATTCATAAATCAAAGGTTGAGGATTGGGTTTGTGTAAGCTACTGCAGTTCAATATTTCAATGAATTACTCGATATTAAAATAACTAAAAGTGAACCCTTAAATGTTATCAATACGGATTATATCAAGAATTTTGCACATATAATAAATGGAACAGATAAGAGGTAAGCCAAAATACACCCGATTTTGTACTGCTACATTTAGTTGTTTCAAAATCTACTTACAAACAATTTGTTGTCAGCAGAGTATTAAGAAAAGAGATATAATGAATTTAAGAGAGATAAATTAAATACAGTTGCCACTTAAGATAACAGTTATTTCATTTGCTTCTTATTTCAACACTCTGTAATGTAAACGTGAAAAAAAAAAAAAAAAAAAAAAAAAAGATTTCTATTTGAGAGTAAATTGATAACAAAGATTCAAAGAGAGCATTTTAAAAACTCTTTGCAAATTCAAAGGAAAAATTGCATGTGAAAGAAGCAATAAGCATAAGAACAAACAAAAAAAAAAAAACTTTTACAAAAATAAAAGTGTGAAAAAGAGGTTGTGCCATCTACTATAAAACTGATTAACTAACAATATTCGGTAGTTTGCCAGTTGGAACAAAGCTATATTTTTAAGCTCCTCACTGGATTTTTTTAAATCATTAATAAATAAAAATGAATCCTTTTATGAATAAAATTTACAAAAAAGAATACAGCAGCTTAAATATTTATTATTCCAATTTTTAGTTTTGCTCATAGCTATCAAAATATCTTAGGGGGGATGGACTTTATTTTAAAAACAATTCCATTAAAAACCCAATGAAAGTGAAACAAAACAGCTTCCTGAATTTTTATTATGTACAGAAAAAGAAAATATTTACTAATTGAACACAACTATCTTATTCTGCAAAAAAAAAAAAAAAAAAAAAAAAAAAAAAAAAAAGGGGGGGGAGAAAAAATACAGAGAGAAAGAATAAGAAACTTGATGGATACAACTTGCTTAAGCAAAACACACAGAAGTTTGGAAAGCAATTATCATGAATAAATATCCTTAAAGAATAAAAACAAAAACTATCAAACTTAATAATCTTCCCCTCGAAGACAAAGATTTCAGATAAAGATGTTATCTTTGTTTAAAATTTTACATAGGCAATGTCCATTTGATTGTTCTGCATTCCTGAATAATATTTTGTAAAATATACAATAATTAGGTTAGCCTACAGTTAATGCTAAAAGCTACAAAAAACATGATAATTACTAAAGACTAAATTTACAGACCTTTTTCTATTAGCAGTAATTCAGTAAAATTTTCAATTAACACGAGTTAACTGGTAATGTCTTTACTTTTTATCTTAATTTCTTGAAGATATGAGAGTTAACAACTTAACACTAAGTCTGTTTCATCTTCCTTTCCATTCAACCTATGGTATCCAATTTTGCCCATGTGCTGATAGTCGAAGATCTGTTGAGATTTTGATAGAAGAATATAACTTTTCAAATTGTATATTGTTAAGCAACTCTGACTTCTGAGGCCGGGAAAAGAGTATACTGTTAGTCACCAATAAATGACTTGGTGCAAATGAAAAGTGCACCATCAGTCTCCGGTGACTAATGTAGTCTGAATGGGAAGTATGCTGTGGTTCAACAGTGACTGACACAGTCCGAACAGTCACTGCTAACTGGCATAGTGCTTCACATGTTAAATAACGCAAAAAAACATATTTTTCTGAATTTATGAAAAACTGCATAAATTGCACAAATTTGAATTGCAATCCAGACATAGTAAACAAAATGATATAACATAAATAATTTAAAAACTATTTACGATATCATAACAATCTATTAAATACAATACATCTAAGGATTAACCCCTTAACTGCCGTGGTAAACATACATGATTCACTCCCCAGTGCTACTGTTTTTTACATAGGCGTGCATAGTTATGCGATGTATAGGGGAAAAATAAGTGCAAGTTTTGCTAATTAAAACCTGTTTACTTTCACAAAATAAAGAATAAAAGAAAAAATATAAATATAAAATTTAATGTTTAGAGTAAAAGTATGATAAAAAAGATCCCTAAAAATGGAGTTTCGATCAATTTATTTTTAAACCAATAAAGAGTAATATCAGGTTTCATTGATATACCTTGTAAAATCAGTATACTTAAATGGAAAGTGAAGAGGCGGTATAGGCAAGTTTTTCATATCAAGTCGTACCCAATGTCAAGCCTATTTCGGAGAATAGTCGCAATCCTCTTCATCTGACACAATATCATATTTTGCGGTGTCTGATCCTGAAGATGATGGAAAGTAATCATCTATTTCACTGTCATACATATTCATAAAAAAAAAAGCATCTACTACAAACAGTAAACGAAAACGGAAGACACACAATAAAAAAAATGCATTGTTCTCAAACAGAAACATGACCAATAACTCATTCATTACTTTCACCGATTCAGAAACATCTCCCTCTCCAGGTCAACCTCCCTTCTTTGAACTCGTATACCCCTTTGCAAACTCTATCAAGGTCATTGTGGCATTGCATTCCAAAGCTTTGCGAATAATTTTACTGGTAGCAGCACAAAACAAATGATAGCATTTCGGCAGGGCGTTTATACACGCCCACGGCAGTTAAGGGGTTAATATAAAGCACAACATGGCAAATATTTACTTAATATAACAAATGTACAACAGCTTTGATTTCAGTTACATCAGTTGAATGAGGCTTACAAATTTTTTAATTTCATTATCTATATTATTAGAAAACCAAACAACTTGAGCAAAATAGAATTCTCAAAAAAGCATTTCCAGGTTTCCGTGCTAAACAAATTTTTCCTGGCACTTCAATCATCTATTGTTGAAGAATAATCATATTTTATTTATTCCTTTTGGATCTTTTTTTAACACTCTTCTTCCATCTAGAGAAATAAAAATTTCATACTCAGCATTCTAAAAAGAAGCAAAGAATTTCTACTTAAAGCTATCTTCATCGATTTTGAATGTGAGCCACATAATCTTTCTTCTGCAGTGACTTCCATCAGTGTCACTTTGAGAACTTAAACCATTATCTCTATGGTCATAATTTAAAAGCATTTAGTGTATTTCAGCTAAATCACAGGTATTTTTTAAATCAAATTTTCATTTTTATGCTTGTATGTGAGTAGGTATAATACATCTAACAGCTACACTGTGCCCACCTGTATATGTTGCAATGGAACAGCAAGAAATATTATTTGAAAGCACTCAAGCAAAATTCATAATTTTCAAAAAATAGCAGAAACTTATGCAAGTATATCTCATAACAGTAGGAAAAATGTATTCATATTATAGACAGCAATCTGTTCTTTCAAATATTATAAACTCTCACAATGTTAAACAGATGTCATTATAACTTTCTTCCTCAAATGGTTGCTGGACAGCTCAATACATTATACTGTATAGCACATTTACAAAGTATTTTGTATCTCAAGCATTCAAGAAAGTTAGGAATTCTGAGACTTTCAACTTAGTCATCTACAGATTATGGCACAATGATAAAATTCTATACTTTTTACTACCAGTTAGAATTTAAAGAGATAAAAGAATTATAAAAAAAAAAAAAAAAAAAAAAAAAAGATTTTCATCAAAGTACTACAAATTCTTGATTAAAATCAAACATGCATATGTAGTTAAGAGTCAACATATTCTAATACATTTCATCATATTATGGTTTTTTCCCCCTTGACACTCTATACACACTTTATCATGTGACAACCTTCTCCTCCTTGCCTCCTTATTAACAATGAAGCAGAAAAATATTCAGTTTCAAAGCTGTTTGAAGGTCAGAGAAATATATAGGGTTTGAAGGTTAAATACTGGTTTATATATAGAAAAATTAACACTAAATATGACATGTTCTAAAACAAAAATTGTCACTAAAATTTATTATACTATCCCCCCCCTCTTTTGTGTATACTGAAATACAAATGAGAGCGGAAAATAATAAAGAAAGTGGTAACAAATATATAATTATACAAATGACAAGTAAAACACAATCAAAATGATGAAAAAACATATATTACTTTGCCTTCCAAAAATGAGAGAAGATCAGTGCTATCTTCATCTGATAAATTTTCAGAATCTGCAACTTCAATCAATGGTGCTTCATCCGGATAAGAAGGAACATAAGAAAACTTTAAAGAAACAGCCACTGAAAAATAAGAAATAAAACTACTGAATTTCTTAAGTGTAAGAATATAATCTGTTTTACTTCTTAAGCAATAAAATTGTAATATTAAATTGGAAGAGAAACAAGCTAATGTAGAATTTTAGTTTGATTTTGAATTAACCCTCTGAGCAGCACGGGTTTTTGGATCTGTCATGAAGACCTGTATTCAAAGACACTTTATTAGCTAAATTTGTATATTTATTTACTTAAATAAAATACTCTTTAAAGACTCTATCTTCATAAACTTACATTTATTAAGATGATATTTATATTATTAAAGAAAGTAAGAAAGCAATATATCATAAATTATAAGCAATATAATATATAACAAATGACAAAAAATCTCATGACCAGATAAAAGCCGGTCATAACGCTGAGAGGGTTAAACTCCATTAGTTTTGAGGACGATAAACACATGTCCCTCTTCTCCAGTAGCAAAAGTAATTTTTTTTCAAAAGATAGAAAGAAAGCAAACATTTTATAATGAAAGTGATGGACCAAAGTGAAAGGAAAACACAGTGCCATCTGCTCAATATATATATATATATAATAAACTTAGATGTTAATATAATATATATATATATATAATATATATATATATATATAACTTAAGATGTTAATAATTTGAACACATTAAGGAAAAGTTTTGGTAATTATACAGTATGCAAGCTATAACTTTTAATTAAGTATTTATTTATTAGATGGCGACACTAAAACACTATTTTTTAATTCAAACTTGCAGCAAAATGGTTGTAAAAAATAATTAGAACAGCAACTAATTTTAGTCTCATCATCGAAGAAATAAATAAATAACTAAAAGCAGTAGATCGCATACTATACGATTATCAAACTTCTTCAAAAATTGGTTTTGGCATAAAATGATTGCCCTTCTCCCATCATTTACACTCCCCCCCCTTCCTGAAGAAGAATTTTTCAAGGGTGGTTTACAAAATTGACAAGAGTTTACTTAATGCTAAATAAAAGTTGTATTTCTGCTTAGTTTTTTTTAATACAATATTAGCCTCAATGAAAATATTTATTCCTCAAATTCAGTTTTTGAAAACTAAACACTTCTTATGCATAGGATGAAAAACCTAAAATAACATATAACAATTTATCCCTTAGATCTTAGTTTTGAAATTATATAAATACATTTACACAGTTTTACTTCAAGAAATAATATTGGTTCAATGATGAAATCAACAGAAGAACCTATAGTTATGAATGCTCACAGAAACAATACTACATGGAAAACTGCTGGCAGGTCTACTGAACTCAGCAAACCAAATTTACATTAGTTGTGGCCAAATTTACGTCAGTTGGAACTGCATGTTAGAATTCACAAACTTCAAAAGGCAAAACTGTTTTTATCATTTTAACAGCAGCAAACCAGATTCGGGGAGGGGGAGGAATTGTAAATCAATTCCCAAAGTTTTTACATTTCTTAATAAAAATAGGTCTCTATTAAGCAAAAATAAACAATTCTAACTGCTATGTCCTTACAATATGCATATTCATTTCTTTATGATGATAATTATTTCTAACAGCTTTTACTATGATTAAACTTAAATACAGTCAAAAGTCTTTAATCTGGGTGTCCATAATTCGGAATGATCTATAACCTGGACCTCAAAGCTACAAACTTTCTGCGCATGCGTCGATGTGCGCAAGACCTTTACGGCTGCGAATTTGCGCGTGCGCAAAATACGTTTACGAATATGCGTTTAATGTATAACAGACAGTATAAGATAAGCTAAAATTATCCAATTATCTATTTCAGTTAATGTTGCAGATTGCGTTGTTCCTTAATCTTCGAATTGGATCCGGCTTATTATTTTTTGATACTGTTAGAGCAATTTTATAAAAGTAAGCTTGAACTTTGGATTACATCAAAAAGAATTTCCACTTCTGGAGCTACCAAAGGATGTACAAAGCGAAAGCATGTTTCGATGTCCATCAAACAAAAAGTGGAATTGCTGCAAAAAATGGATAAAGGCATATCCTTTGATTCTCTAATCATTCCGAAATACGTTTATCAATTTCACGCTGCTCTGCGGGGGGTGGGGGACAATGCGGCGCGCAATGAACTGGAAGTTGATCTGTCAGTACTACCCTTATCTTCAGGGCAGATGTCTTTATTTTATTCGGCTTATAATTCCTTACTAAATGTAGTATTTCATCTCGATGTACTCTGTCTTTGATATGATATAAATCAAATTCCTCGTCATTATAAATATCACGAATACACATCAAATAGTTTTCTGGTTGCAATTTTCCAATTTCGACTATGCGTAATGTATGCTTTATGCATGCGTGCATTGAACGAAATGTTTAATAAAGTAAACAAATAAATATAGTTTTTTTTTTTTTTTTTGTAAATTTTGATACCCTTTAGATCATAATTGCTCTTTATTTCATAAATTACGGTTTCATATTTTTAATTTTATAATTTCTGCATGCCATCTTACCAGATTTAAACTGATGATCTATAAACCGGAATCGCCGAAGTCCCCACGAGTCCGGATTAAAGACTTTTGACTGTACAAAAAAATAGAGACTACTTACTGGCTTTTACAACAGTGGAAAAAATATTTTATTTTTTAAGTAGTTGAAGCAGTTTGTAAAATAATGTAAAGTTTATTTTAGCTAACACATTATTTTTATGTTAATCCTCCCTTGTAACTTTTCCCATCAACTTTCACCAGAATAAAAACACAGAGAGAGCTATGACAACTCACCAGACAGAGAGAGCTATGACAACTCAACAGTAAGCTGTTATTTCAGTCAGTCTCCTCTGCATTGACAACTCGCAAGCAAGTTATTAATTAAGTGAATCACCATGGATATGGTTTTGGTGAATAATTTCATATTTATCACATTGCAAAGTTAGAAGTAGGGATATCTAAAGCCAGGTTAATAAGGTGTTACTTGTTATCTTTGATAATGTACATATTTAAATGTTTGCATTTCTGCAACCTCCCTCTACCAAGCAAAGATGGCAATGGTTGTACGGTAAGGACCCTTTTTAATAAATACTTTAGTTGAACTTTACCTTTTGGCTATGGTTTTGAAGTTTTACGCTTTCTGACTAAATGCAAAAGCATGAATTTGTTGGAAGCACAAGAAAATTAAACAAGAGTAGCTTAATAGTCAATTAGCTTTAATAACAACAGAACCATAGATTTATCTTTACTTTTATCACATATACACTTGTCTTGAAAAAATAAAATATATGTCAACATTATAGTGGAGAAATTGAAATCATAACACAAATATTATTTTTAAATAAAAAGTAAATTTACCACATGTTTCACACTAAAAAAAAGACGTTCATAGAAATAAATCTGAGATCACACCTTAATTTAGATAATAGATAATTTTTTTTTCTAATGCAACTTATGGCTTTACAACTCCTTACTGCTATTTAGTAAGATAAGGGTCTGATGAACACTTCATTAGTCTGACCTCTGGTGTACAGAAAAAAAAAAAAAAAAAAAAAAAAACTGAGGTGCAAAACTGCCAGCACAAAATAAGAAAAAAATTGCAGCAGACGGTTGACGACGTGACAACATTTTTTCGCGCGCTTTCGACAACTTCCGCCCTCAGAATATAGGATGTCGGGCAGACCTGTTTTTCACTAGCAGCGACATCTGGCGGTCCAAAACTTGCTATCGACTCTCGTAGCATAGAATAACCATCCTGGTAGCAATCATCTCATCCCTAGCACCCAGAAGGCTTATATAGCTTTCTAATTTTATAGAGCTTCATTTCAAGTTGAAAATTGAATACTTTGCAAAGCTAAGAAGCAGAACATTAATACATCAACTCTGAAGTAATTGTAGCAATGCTTAAAATTTTAGGATGATTTTTAGCAACCAAGGATCAAATCTAATTTGAGAAAAATTTTGCATGTTTAATATGTTAATTAAAAAGGAGATTTTTCACATTGTAGACATTAGGATTTTTTGAATGTCAGGATACGGATGAAATGAGCAATGCCCTCGCCAGGACTCGAACCTGAACCTCTCGAATACGTGACAAGTGTGCTAACCATTACACCACGAAGGCATGCAGAAAGATGGAAGACCTATGATATATAACTTCCCCGCCTCCAAAAAAAAAAAAATTTTTTTTACTCGACTCTATTTATCATTATGACAGCTGGACACTGGATTTCACCGTTTGCCCCTTGCTGTTTTAGATAATGGTTGGCTTGCTATTCATCAGATTTATCATTCTCATTTATGCATCATGTATAGGCTGATTTCATTAGAAACATAGAAAACATTGCCTTCCCTTATCCCAATATAAGTTAGCAAAGTTTCCTAGACAAGAAGCCACAGACAAATAATGCAGACCAGGCATAAAATTAAACACTGCAGAGTGACAAGGAAAAGCATGCATTTCAAGCTAAAAATTTTCTTCCAAAATATAGTCTGAGAATGAATAGGTTAATTAAATAGGTTTAAAAAAAATATGCAGGTATTTTAGTAAAATCTATTATCTTTGGCAGTTCATAAAATTATTAATATGCAAAAGATGATAATGTACTATAATTAAAATAGGATACAGTTTAAAATATAATAATCAAATACATACTATATTCTTCAGGATCATTCTTCAAAGGTTCAGTACGAATGTCCACAGTGAAAACATAATTTGGAGTATCAGATAATACTAGAAAAGTTTAAACAACAATTTTTAATATTCAGTCACTGGAATATATAATAAAACAAGTTACATTTAAACAAAAAATCACCAAAGTAACAAATATATCCATAAAACAACATATTACTGTCATATGATAATAGCGCTTCTTTATGTAGGTTATACAGTATAAAGTCTGAGGTTCAGAATCGTCGGGACTTCGGCAATTCCGGATTTGCGATTTTTTCGGATATCAGATTATCAGTTTAAATCTAGTCAGATGGCATGTAGAAATTATATTGTGATTTATGAAATAATAAAGCATTTATGCTCTAAAACAGCACTTTCCAATCTTTTGTCTAATGTGTACCATCTAAACAAAAACTGAAAAAAACCTTAGTAACACCTCTACATTTTACAAATATTGATTTTCCCTTTCGCCACAGAAATATTAAAAAAAAAAAAAAAAAAAAAACATTTTGCCATTTGCACAGCCTATTCACTATTTGTATTAAATATGTACACATAAAAAAGATTAAAAATTGGTTACCAATTATCAAAATTTAAGTCATAATACTTTAATTCTAAGATTTAGTATGAAATTTGGGTCTGTTTAACCCTTTAACGTGCACGATATTATTTTTATAATTTTTTTAACTAAAAACTCTAGAAATTGAATATTATGATCCTAGAGACAAATAATATATGAATTAAAAAAAATCTACTCTTGCCCATTGTTCTGTGGGTGGTGGTCGCACTGCGAAACCACCGCGTGTCTAGGACTTTGAAACTTACTGAGGTAGTAGGGGGAAAAACTTACCATTTTCCTTGCATGTGTTTCCAATAAATGACAAAATTTACGGATTTAAAAAAAAAATGTATGTAAGAATTGCATTATATATAATTTTTTTACATTATTTTACTAAGTAAATCGTCAAAAAAAATTTAAAATAATAAATATTTATGTAATTTTCCTATAGGCAGTGAAAATATAAGTACCTACATAATAAGGACATTTGGATAAATGGATTAAAAAACTCAATAAAATAAGGATAAAAAAGAACTCTGTGTTTTTTTTTTTTTTTAATTTCAAAGAACTTTTTTTTTTTTTTTTTTTGACACTGTTCAAAGGATGTTTCGTCTTTTTGGTACATGCATAGATCCACACTGCACGTTTCGCACATACATCTTGTTCTATGAGGTTTCTTCCTTGAGCTACAAAATGTAAACTGCCTGGATTTAAATTTCACTGGTATATGTCCAGCGTTATTTAGTTTCTTTTCATCTGGCGCATGAAATTTGTGGTTTTTTATGTTAATAAGGGGGGGGGCTTGGTCTTTTTGGCTTTGTACGAATCGTTCGTTTCCCATTCATACTTATTTTATTCGTATTTCGTCTCAAAATATTCAGAAAATATTTTTAATTTAAATAAAACTTTTACGCAATTTCTATTTTTAATTATAGCAAAGTATATTTACATTAAATTTAAACCACAAAAAATAATTTATAAAATCACAATATTAGCTAGGGGAGGAAGTGTGTTGATGTCAGGGAAAAGTATTTGGAAAAGACATTTTTACTGGGCAGGTGCATGTATTGTTTAGTAATAAAATAACTCTGTGGTTTCAAAGCCCTTTATCTATATCCGGGTAAAAATAAACATTCCTATTTGAAAAGCAAGTGAATGCCATAGAGTGGTTTCAAGGCGAGACCACCAAGCCTCTAGAGGATTGTAAGCATTGTGACACAATGCTCTAGTGGCACAGTGGTCGCGCCCTGAAACCACATAGCAAAGCCATACATATAGAGGGGTTTTTTCATATATGCAGTTTAATTACTGCAATTTTTTATTGTTTATGATAGAAATCGTGATGTGTGATGACTAACTTTTGAAATTTAAAGTTGTTTATATTAATAAAAGGAAGTTATTTTGTCTCATCGAAAACGAATTTTAAAAGGCATCCGATCTAAAGTATTAATACCTAAAACATATATGATTCTACAGTCATTTTGTGTTATTTGGATGTAAAAGATCAGTAATCAATTCATTTTCACTCAAAAATTTCGGAAAAAATAAGAGAAAAAAAATTTGAAAAATGGTGGTTTCAGGGCGCGACCACCGCGCATCAAAGGGTTAAGAGAGAGATCAATTTCTTTATGTCTGGTCTTATTTCACTTAGTTGTAAATTAGGATCCACTTTAAATTTTGTTCTATATTTATTTTTCAAATATAACATGGAAGAAAATCCTTGATCACACAGATAGGTTGTGCAAAAAGGAAAAAAAAAAAAAAAAATTAATAGCTTTATCTGAAATGCCTTTAAATTCATTTTTTTCAGTTCAGTCAAAAGTTCACAAGTTTGTTATTTTTGAAATCTTCATTAGAGTTCAATTACAGGAAACTTCTATCGATTGTCAAGTTCAAAAAGATGATTTAAAACTTTGCCTCTCGATAACCATCTTACTTCAGAACAGAATAAAAATGTTTCATGTTCACTGCCCATCTCTTGGCATAAAATCGTAAATATCCTTGAATTTAAAGCTCGGTTTCTAACCCTTTCGACTGACTTTTGCATGATTAAAATTTAACTAGTTTAGTACTGAAAAGTAGTTTAATTTAATGTTGACATACTAAAAGAAGTGTAATAAGAGTAGAGTTTAAAGTTTTTCCCGTTTCCCGGAAAACTCCTGGGACAATATGCCCCAATCGCATTGTCAATTGGGACTATTTATCCCAATCGTTTAGGATATTACCCTTTCTCAGAAAACAAAACTAAAACGGTAATATATAACGTGAATATTACAAAACATAAACTCTGTCACATGCACTAGTTCAGATATAACAAAAATTTTCATATATGTTTCATAAACACAAGCATAATATATCAGCATGTAGTAATCTAATCACTGATGGGACATATTAACCCACTGGTAAATATGATTGAAACAATATATCTCACAAAAAGAATTTATTCAAAACGTTTTAAATCTGACATTAAAAATGTTAAATTACGATTTAATAAGAACAATAAGAACTATTTCATACTAAGTATGCCTTTAAATATAATTGTACTTACTGTAAAATTAAAAAAAAAAAAAAAAAAAAAAAGACAAATCAAAACATGAGTAATTGGCATGCTAAAAAACATAAGTGCATAATCTGCAATCTAAAAGTATTGCCAAGTTTCTTTAGTCATATATCTGTTCCCTAATTGCTTAAAAACACTGCAAACATGAAAACCCATTTAAAAGTGGATTTTATTTACCCAATAAGGCATGAAATCTAATCTCTGGGACATATGTGCCCATTAGGACCGAAAGGGTTAATACAAATAAATATTTTTCTCAGCTTCATACAAAACGATTTTCAGGTTTTGTGGGACTGTTTTGGATGCTAAAGCTTCATGATGAATGAGCAGTAAGCAAATTTAGTTTTAGTTGCAATTTTCTTTATTTGAGAAGTAACAACAGAATGTTTTCCTGTTAAAGCCTAAGCTCTGTCACTGCACTTATTCCAAGGAATATCACTTCGAGACATAAAATTATCAATTACATTGAAAATGTCATTTGCCATTGCAGTATCATGAAGAGAGTCACAGATAAATACTCTTCGGCAATTTGTTTATCTTCTTAAAAACATATTTGAGCTATTTGTTATATAAGTACTTTCATCCAACTCCAATGCAACATACTGTGTTTCATTTTTTGAATGTGTCTAATCCCACTTATATCTCTCTCGCCCAATTACATGGTGCCTATCGATGTATACATGGACAAAGTCAAGGAAGTGTGCAATGCAAGTTTGTGCAATTCTCTGATGTTTTTTAAGTGAAAATAGCCCGATGTGTACATGGATACTAAGTTTGCGCAATTTTTTGACTTGTTATTTTCAAGTTCACGATTTTGAGAAACGCAGGCAGCAGTGGGTAAATTTGGCACTATCCCCGGTCAAGTTTAATTTATGCAGTATTTTAATTTGTTCGTAAAATTTACAATGCACGCTCACTCTTGCTAGTAGATTTAATAATTAGACTTTTTACGTCTTTTAAAGTTTTGTTTTTATAATTATGTTTATAATTATGTTAAATTATACTGTATTATTAACTTATTGTAACTTAAAGATAAAAATTACATATTTTGTATATTTTTGGCAATATGTCCTCAAAATTTGTAAAATGGGAAAATATCCCATGTATTCTTCAAGAACTGTCTGATGAAGAAAATGAAAGGACTGATGCAGGAGTGTTTTTGAACAGCGATAGTGATCTTAGTGAGGAAAATATTGAAGTAAATTACATCAGCATTGAATCTGAGCAATCTATGTCTGAAAACAATGAAGAGGAATCAAATGAAGATGAAGACTTTTACATCGGCAAAGACAAAATTAGTAGATTGCGTAAAATGCAATATGCAGGTCCTCCAAAATTAAAAAGTTGAAAAAGTAAAATTTTCTTCCTGATATGAAAAGTTTTGCAAAAGACATAGATGATGAAATTGGATCATTTACGAGAATAATAGACATAAATATGACTAAGAGACTGTCACAATACTACAAGATGTGAAATTATGGCATATTTTGAATTAGTGTATTTGATAGGAGTAAAAAAAAATGCATCATGCCGATGCTAAGAAACAAACGATGACACGGGAGTGCATACTGCAAGGGCAGTCACAAGTTACAAAATTTTTATTTCAACAAGATGTCTTCGATTTGATGACAGAATAACTAGAAAAAACAGGTCTAAAATAGATAAACTAGCAGCTAGACAAACAATTTTTGACAGTTTTCTAATGAACTGCTTTAATATGAGTGAATTTGCTATAATAGATGAAATGCTACTTCCCTTTCATGGTTGTTGCCAGTTTATTCAATATATCCCCAGTAAACCCTCAAAATACGGAATAAAAATGTATGCTCTGCATGATTCGAAGACTTTTTATACATATAATCTCAAAATTTATTGTGGATCAGAACAAAATGGCCCACTGCAGTTTCAAATTCTCCAATAGACGTTGTAAAAAGACTGGTTACTCCAACTGAAAATTCGCTCAGAAATGTAACTACAGACAATTATTACACAAGTATTCCATTAGCTGATTATTTACTACAAAAAAGAAAAAAAAAAAAAAAAAACTGACATTCATAGGAAACCTGAAAAAGAACAAGAAAGAAATTTCTCAAGAGTTCTTGCCATGTAGAAAAAAGATGGTTAGATTGAGTATATTTGGCTTTCAAAACAATAAAACTCTTGTTTCGCAGGTTCCTGGCAAAAACAGAGCTGTTATATTGCTTTCAACAACGCATGACACCGGTAAAGTTGAAATTATCTTCGATTACAACTTTACAAAAGGAGGGTTCGATAATGTTGACAAAATGTGCGCTACTTACTCAGTAACACAGATAACAAGGAGATGGCCATGTGCATCTTTTACAGTCTCATGAACATTGGCAGAATAAATGCACAAATTATATACTTGCTAAGAAATCTGAAAATCAACAAAGCTGAAGAATTTTCATGAAACACTTAGCTCTAAGTCTTGTGAAAGAACACCTTACAGTTCAAGCAAAAATCTCTTCATTGCCATGTGATATTTCAATATTTCTAAATATGAATTATGCACTGCTTTCTGAGGAAACTACTGAGCAGCAAGTACTGAAATGAGGAACTTATGGTTTTGTGTGTAAAAGAAAGGAAAAGATCATCGGCATCCATGAAATGCTATATCTGCAGCAGATATACCTGCAAGCGACATTTGCTTAAAAAAATATGATGTCTGAAATTATGGACATTGTTGATACTAATTAGAGACTCATAAACAGAGAAGTATTTAGATTAGTTTTCTTACATTAAACATTCTGGATTTTTCTAAACTTTGTCTTTCCACCTTCAATAGACTTTTGTGTGTGTAAAGTAGTAATTTTGTTTTTCGTTAATAAATAGTTGTTAATTTCTTTTACTGTAGTTCGAGTATACATATATATTTTAAATAATCAAAGACGAATAATTTCAATAGATGTGCATAACTTTTATTAAGTTATCCTTTAATTTTTATAAAAAAATTTGCATTTGTAACAGTTTAAATGTGTAAAAATAGACGAAAATATTCCGCCGTAAAAATTACGACACGCGCTCGCTCGTGAAATATATTAGAGCGCGGCCACTGGAAGGATAAATAAACTATTATTATTGTCAGATTTATAGTAAATAAATTATTATTATTATCATGGAGCTAACTGCATTTAATAAAAAAAATTTACTTTGAATGCAACTTATCCGCACTCTTCGAAACCACAAATACGATTAAGATACACGAGATTACACGTGATGCAATTAAGAACAAAACAGTTGTCATTCCCATGATATATTATACTTAAAGGGATTTTAAAAATTCAATTAGTCATAAAAAAATAGCTATACGTATTTATGATACAGTTTCGGAAAAATGAGCCTGCAAAGGAAATAATATACACACATGAGAAATACATTTACGATAACTTCACAAGAAATATTAATAATGAGCTTTGTTTGAAAACATTGCACACTTAAATATATGATATAGTATACTTTTAAGTTCATTTGGATATATAGATTCCAAAGCTTCTATTTCATTTTTCTGTTCTTCTTTATAGTCTGTCATTATTACTCCACTAAACCTATCTCAAAAATTAACATGGGTACAGCGTAGAATGAAATGTACAAAAGAGCTTTCTTTTGCATTTGTTATGTCCTTTTGCCAGAAAGCCGAAAATTATAAATTGTACACGCGAAGGAACAGGGAAGCAAGATGACCATATTAAAGTAATACAAGAGGAAAGAAGTTTAAAGATAAAAATAGGGAAAAGAACTAAAATATAAATATTTTGAACTAATGTTTTCTTTACTAACAGAGCATAAATACACTTTTAAATATATCCAAGGCCGACTAGTCGGCCTTTGTATATCTTGAAGAGGGCATAGCATTTTGCCAAGATCTTGCCATGAATTTATTTGAAGGATACAAATTTTATTCCTTCATTGTTTATAAAGCATGTCCAGTTGTCTGACACTGTCTCTTCCCAAAGCCAATACTACTTTTGCTATTTTAATTGTAAAGAATAAATCTTTCATTTGCTGTAATTTATCTTTTAGGGATTGGCAATACTTATGTTTACTTTCCTTTATGCTACTGCTGTGCTTAACCCACGGAGAATAATGACTCCGTGACTAATATACTCTTTATACTCCGTGTTTTAACCACATCTGTCACTTGACCATATTTAATTTTCCAGATAATCTACCTTGAATTATCGCTTCGTTTCTCCGTAACAGATCATTCACCTTCTAATTTGGAAATGCGTACTTGTCACAGAGGTCAATTAAACACAAGGCTCAATTCTGATTCTTGTATACTATATATACGAATGGCATCGCGTAACATCCTACAGTTCAATTAATTCTTTACACCGCTGACACATCTATTCTTGCGAAGGCCAGAAAACTTCAAAATATTTACAGTCAACTTCAGCATTATTTTAAATTGTTAATAGCTTAGAGATTAGAGCAGAGCAGAGTTTCCCAACGTGGGGCCCATATTCCATGGGGGGGGGACGCAATTTAATTTTTAAGGGGGCCTATTTGAAAATGGACTTGTCCAGATTTTAAGGGGAAAAGGAACCTTCAAATTCCCAAATTTTCTTCAAGAAGTGGAAATTCCATTTTTTATTCCCAGAAACAAAGAACAATGTCAGGACGTAAAAAAGGTTTTAAATTGCTGTGCATTTTAAATATTTCATAAGGAATTTTTTATGTAGACATGGACATTTAAATACTTTTAAAGGGCATTTAAATAGCTGCGACATTACGCTTTCCAGACATTTTTTGCACATGTTAACGAACGAATTCATTTTATTAGTTACTGTAGGAACACCAATAGGTGAATTATTCTTCCATTGAATGCAACAGCAGCTGCTTTAAGTTTTGTTTATATTCAGCGGTGTGACGACGTTTTTAATTTATCTTATGTTTATTTATTTCACCCTTTAGTGAAATGAGTGGCCAAGCAAGAACAAAGTTCGTCAGTATTAAAACTGAGGAATTTTTAAAATTTGGTTTCATACCCGCTATACACGATGAACGGTCATCTTTTTGTCTTTTATGCTAACAATGCCTGACCAACGAAGCAATGAAACGAGGTCGTCTTGAGGCACTTTTGAAGGTGAAACACAATGCTCTATTGATTCAGATTTGGTTCAGATTCAGATTAACTGATTCAGATTCAGTTTGACAAAAGAGTAACATTAAAGTTTCTATTTACTGCTCATAATGCAACTATTACTGTTTTGAGATGCGCTGGTTCGACTGTATACTTTACAACTTTCCACCAACAACAACCAATTTTATTTTTTGAACTGTAACATAACTAAAACCAAAATCGAAATGAATTCTTGACCACACAGGATCAAAAACATGTATGCTTCGCTAGGAGTCCGAATTGAAACTGACTGAAGTTGCGCAGAACCAGTGCGCTGTACATAACTTTTATTGCCGCGTAGGAGCCACGTCCGCCCCACGTCGCAATATTTATGATATGCAAACTAAATCTTAGCATTTAATTCAATATCAAATGTTATCAATTCAGCTATTCATTTTTTAAGCATTAACAAGAGAGATAAAGTTAGTAAATTATTTACAGAATGTAAATTAACAATTCAGAGAATTTGATAAAGTTTGAACATTTACAATGTTTTTCAATAATTATGGTAAGTATATCAACATTTCAAACAGTAAAAAATTCAAATTTTGTCATGAAAATTACTAAATGTAAGTATAATAAAGAACAATGTATACATTTTATTAACAATGGAACTTAATCTTTGTAGTTGTCATCAATAGGCAATACGCAAATTTTTTATATTGGCCTTTTAATTGGACCGAATTTGGTGTTAAAGACTGCTACTCATATCTTAACATCTTTACCAGGAATGTTCTGATCAATTCTTCCTAGTAACTATTTAAATGGTCATCTTTAATAATAACCATTGTATTTTGCTTTATACTGTCGTTTGAAAAATACTATTTCTTTCGTTGTTGCAAGTAATTAAGATAGTCAGTTATCCATCGTTTCCATATAATCTATATCATTTTAGTTAATTTCTGCCATCTTGATAATCTGCTTTCTGACAGATCTAAAATTGAGGTTCTGCAATTGAGTTTATGAGTCTACCTATTAAAAAGTGACCTAGTGTCAAGGATTCCTAATCTAATGTTTCAGACGATAAAGGAGAAAGAGGTCTCAAATTTAGTTTTCCTTCAATTTGACTAATTTCGGTTAAAAAAATCTTCATAGGTAAGTTTAGCATCGGGAATAATTCTTTTAAGATGAAGTTTAAAAGATTTGATTCCGGCCTCCCAAATTCCACCAAAAATTGGGGGGCACGAGGAGAAATGAATTTCCAAGAGATACTTTCAGATGCCAAATACTTACCCAAAACTTCATCGGGAACACTAATTAAAGAAGCAAGTTTCTTTAACGCTTTGTGTGCTCCTACAAAATTAGTTGCATTGTCACTAATTACACACGAGCTTTTACTTCTACCCGAGAAAAATCGTTTTAAACATGCAATAAAGACTCGCATCATCAAATATTTGCGCGTGGGCATCGCAATTTGCGTTGATTCACTGCGCAGCGGAGAAGACGACTGACGCGGATGGTCAACGTCGCAGAACAAGTCCTACAGTCCATCGAAGATATTTCGGAAATCAGCACACGATCTAATGCCTAGAAGCTTGGGATGTCTCACTGAGCAGTGTGGCTGATATTGCTCGAGGAATGTGAGCATCCTTACCATCTGCAAAGGTTGCAGTTACTGCATCCTAACGATTACCGAAGCGTATGGTATTTGCACAACAGTTCATGCAGAAAGAGCCATGTGCCCAAGTTTTCAAGCTTCTATCATTTTTACAGATGAAGCTCCATTCACTAGTGAAGGTGTGTTCAATACATAAAATTCATATGTGTGGGCTTGCGACAACCCGCATGGTATGAAACGCCAAGCTACGCAATATCGTTTTGTGATAAATGTGGGGGCTGGAATCATCGGTGACTGCTTATTGGGACCTTACTTGTACCGCGGAATGTACCGCGGACTTGTACCGTGGAAATACCTAAATGAAACGCTTTTGTAACTAAGCAAACAAAGATTGCTATATAAACTTGTAAACTTGCAAACTACATTTTCTTTGATTTCTATAGTTGATTAGGAAAGGGTCTGCAAAATTTATATCTGTGTTATGAAAGATTAGGTTTGGATTTACACGTTCAGGAGGTAAATCGGCCATTAATTGGTATGAAATCATAGGTTTATGACGAAATCAAATTAAGCATTAGTGAACTGTTTTGCTAGCTAAGTTCTTGCCACCAATGGGCCAAAACATTTCCCTACCAAAATGTAACAATGCTTGAGGACCAGCATGAAAATTTTTCAAATGATAGTGAATAAATATTAGCTTAGGAAGCTTATAATTTTTTGGCAATAAAATCTGATGTTTAGAATCGTAATCAGTTGTGGCATAGTTAGGTGACCGCCCACACGTAATATACCTTTTCCATCTAAAATTGGATTTAAAGTTTTTACCTGACTATTGATTACTCTCTGATCTTGAAGTGATTGAATCTTCTCTGAAAATTCTATTACCTGAACCATTTTAATAAATGAATTTCCGCATCTTGAAACTCGATACTACTAATGGGGCCTGTTTTCTTCACTCGACCTTTCAGATTGGACAGAAACCTGAAAATAAGACTTAAGATTCTAATGAGTTTAACATAATTTTTTTTTTATTCAAAAAAGGTATTCCAAAACAAGTTTAACTTGCAGTTCAAATTAATGCCTAAAGGTTTCTTAATAGCTGATAGGCAGGAGAATCTATGAGAGTCTTGTCAAGTTCAAATAAAGAATTAGCACTAAGTTCTATCTGTTCAGGACCATTCCTCCTCAAGGAAGATGTCACACGTTCATGAGGGTAAGCACCGCGGGAAATCAGATCTGAAGGATTATTTGCTGACGATACGTGCTTCCAGTGTCGAGGCTCTGCTAGTCTTTCGATATTGGAGACTATTTACAACAAAGGTCTTCAAAAGATGAAGAGAAGTATTCAACCATGACAGTGCTATCGTTGAATCAGTGCACCTAAATACATTTTCAATGAGTTGCTAACTTTCGAAATCAGATGAGCCAATACCAAACATGCACAAAGTTCTAATCTTGGAATAGATAAGGTTTTCAATGGAGCCACACGAGATTTGCTGGCTAGTAGATGAGATGACGCGCTGTGATCTTCATCGACTCAATTCAAGTAGGCAACTGCACCATAACCGGCTTCAGACGCATCTGCATATGCAATGAGTGAAATCTTGCTTGGATGAGTGGAGAGGATGTAACAATTAATTTTTATGCTTTCCATAGTCTTTAAATTTGAAACTATTTGTTGCCATTCGTGAGCGATAGTTTTTGCTAAACTTATTGATTGAGTCTAATATTGGCTGAGCTTTAAATTTCCTAACTGTTCGTCTTTCAAAGCCTTTTTACGATAAATATACCATCTTCATTTCGTCAGTAATTGTCTTTGAAATGTTGTTCATAAAATTCTTCTTCTTGAATAAGAATTGGCTTTTCTTCAACAATATTTTCCACTAACCAAAATATTTCTACCAATCTATC